CTCTCTCTCTCTCTCTCTCTCTCTCTCTCACACACGCACACACACGATGCGCAAAACTCCACATTTGAACAGTCAATAGCAAATACTTAAACTAATAACAAAACAGTAGATGATTCAGAAGCGCCAGATTGTCATAGAAAGTCAGAATTACCTTCTCTCCTAGGTTCACGAAATGGTGGTCCATAAAATGCATTGCTGTTCTGTTGTAAGTGATCTTAAAGATTCCTAAATGCATCTACTTTCAGAAGGCCAAATAAAGTGCTTTTACTTTCGCCTAGAAACACACAGCGTCTCTCTGACATGGCTGCTTCAACACTAACTGCGGTTACTGAAACCATGCCTTCTTTCTTTGCGTGCACATTTGGGCTGCATTATGCTAATATTTCCACATAGTGAGGTAGATATGTGGGGGCGTGTTAGAACGAGCCGTTTTAGGGGGGCGTGGCAGAGTCTTAACTTTGATAAAGAATATCTCTTTGGTTTTGAGACTTTAGTCTTTGCAACTTTAGGGATCTTATCTATGCACAATCAGCTTGTAACACTCCAAAGAGAAAGGAAAACTTGAAATCGCATCATATGACCCCATATGACATTTTTTTACTTAATTATTAATGCATTCCAGTGTTATTTCAAAATAACTTTTGTAGCCTTATCAATGACCTTGGGGTATTTTTAATATTCATGATAATGATGCAATATATCATACTGAACAATTTAAACTTTAACTTAGAAATAACACGGTGAGATTTACATAAGAAAAACCATTCATGGTGGATAATGAGATGCCACAACCTACCGTACGATCCACTAATACCCATTACCCACTATAAAACGCCTCTACAGTAATATAAATGTGTACGAAACACTACTCCTCTGAATTTAGCCACGGAAACTTATTCTCGACGAGTTGATCGCAACAAAGATATTCACTGCCTTGACGGTCGCGTTCAATAAGGCCACATCCACACGACACTGGGTTGGCTGACATTACGAAAGAACCCGGATGGACCCGTGGGGAAACTACGTCATTGTTCACCGCCGGACGCTCTTTGGATTTTAGAATGGATGAACTCATTTAAATTAATCATAAATTTACAGGTATGTGCATTATTTGATTTAAATACCACATATGATTGCAGATGGTGATTTTTTGGAGAGCGCGTGTTGTGTGGTTGCGTTTATTGCGTGGCACGAAATTGAAAACACCGGGTTTCGCAATGAGTCTTTCGGCGGCGTTGCCTTCTCGACCAAGGCACCGGTGAATTTTAAATACCGTGCCCCTCGTTTTTACCTGTTAACGATTAAATTCGAAATTTGGGTCATTTCATGTAGTACTGTTATATTGTTTATGTTTTTGTGAGAGACACCACATATATCATCATATTTATTCACAGACAGGCTTCTGGAAGTGCGTGACCATGTTTATGCCATCATGTTCCATCTGTATTGTTACGTTTCGCCGTTACCATGGCGTTTGTAGCTAACGTACAATACCGCGGTCTTTAAATCAGTCTGAACTTCTGGCGCCAACAAGAAAGGTGGCTATCCACTGAAATTTCACTGACAAGTATTTTGCATACATTTATTACCACTACAAATACATTTACCCGTAGTATTTAGTGTATAAAGAACGTGCGGCAGAGGCCTATCTCGCACGCGAAGCCTTTAGCCGAGCACACCAGATAACAGTTGGCGGACGTGCGGAGACGGTGTGTACTACAGGATCATTTCCTCATGCAAAATCACACACGGAACCGCCACTGCAGTTGTTAAACTGTGTTTTGAGTGTCAGAGTCTGACGACGTAATCAAAGGTACACACATTTAGCTGAGGTGGAACGTGTTGATATGAGAGTTTACGGTAAACTATTGCTATCATGTAGTAGCCGAGGAGGCCACGGGCCCATGCTGGCGCGCGCAGCTCAGTAGATCAACACACCGGCGTTAATACATCAACGCATGTTAAGCTTATTCGATCAAATCTTGGTTGGCCGTTAACAAGGAAAGAAATTCGTACAATTGTAGATGTTGTTTTGCGTAGTAAGAATCGACTAAGTGTGTTTGGGGTTCAACATTCACTAGTATTTGTTGTACTTTCACTTTAGCGCGATGTCTTAGGCATTTAACTCGTTATCTTCTTTGATGCTGTATTAGTGGTTTTAGTCTTTTTGCACTGTATTTACTTGTTACGAAGTTATGCGACTAAATGTTTTTATGAAGGCATGTAGTTTTTAGGTTGACAAATATAACGTTAGACTTTAAACTTTTGAATGGCTGGAAGAAATACTATTTATTTAATGTACCGAAATGCAGTATTTTTTTATTAAATAAACAAATGACCGAGACTTAAACTGAGCCAAAAACGTTATTGCAATCATATATTACATAGTAACACACATTTATTAAGTGGTATAATTAGCATATATTAGTGTTGTTTACACTGGCCCTGTGCTGTAACATGAACAATGATTTATGTATGTTTTATTGTTCTGGCCTGTTTAAATAATTTGTTAGGACATTGTTTGATGAATATATCTGTTTGTTTAAACTATATATTTTATTAGAGTAAGGGAAGGTCAGAAGCAGTTTACACTAGACATCTTTACCTTTGAGGAGCAAAGCAACTTTGTGCTAGAGAGTTTTTGCTTTCCTCTCAGCTACCTGTTGCATTTGACACCTGACCAGTTTAACCCGAACCTGTGGCTTTAAAACCACTTCACATGCCAATGAAAAATCTGGCTGCTTTGTCAAAAATGATCGAGTTGACACACGTCTGCTTTTCCACAGAAAATGAATAATGACCATAGTTGACAAACCTCCAGAGACACCTGACCTGGAGTCAGTGCGGTGCAAGCACTCCAGCTCCCTGACACCTTTCTCCTCCAGAGACATGGAGAGCAGTAGTTCGAGGAGTGTTGGCCCTTCTGCCACTGAGATTTCAAGGGCCAAGGCTGCCTGTACGGCCCCGACCATTGGAGTGACTCTGAATAGTAGTAATAACACAGCACTCCAAGTCGAAAGGCCCCGAGAGCAAGGCAAGTGCTTTTTGTATCACCACTTTTAAAGTACAACAATAGGTTATGTTGTATTGATTGTGTAATATATGTCTCTTTGTTTTTTTGGACCATGCAGTGGTCATGACCAGTGGGGATGGCATTGCTCTTCCTCAAAAAGTCCTGTTTTCCCCAGAGCGGCTTTGCTTGAAATGGAACCAGGGCCACCGCGTTGGAGCAGGTCTCCATAACCTGGGCAACACATGTTTCCTAAACTCTACCCTGCAGTGTCTGACCTACACAGCTCCCCTTGCCAACTACATGCTGACCAGAGAGCATTCCAAAACATGTGCGTGTGCAAGATTTTGCAACATTGTATATATGCTTGGCATGCCTTTTCTCTAATGCTGTACATTCTTCCTCTTTACATGCAGGTCATGAGCCTGGGTTTTGCATGATGTGTACCATGCAAAATCACATCATCCAAGTATTCGCCAACTCTGGAAACGTCTTTAAGCCTATCAGTGTGCTTAATGAGCTAAAACGTGAGTGCTCAGTTTAAGATGTAACGTTTTCTTTGAAATCATGTGACAAAATTACAATTTACTAAACTTTTAATATAACACTCAAGTGCTACATAAAAAGTTGGTACAACTACAGATATGGTGCTAGATAGGAGTTGAGGGTTTTGACAAAATAATTATTAAGGTTAAAACTTAGTTCATATAAAAACAAGCAGCACAGCCACAGTGCTTTTAATTTAAGGGATAAGGAATGGTTCAGGATGTCCGTTATTTATAACCTAGTCCACTGATCTTTTGTTCTTATCCTCAGGGATTGGAAAGCATTTCAGATTTGGAAGTCAAGAAGATGCCCATGAGTTCTTGAGGTACACAGTGGATGCTATGCAAAAGTCCTGCCTGCCTGGAAACAAGTGAGTTCACACAATGCAATTTTGTTTGCCAGTTTACTAGCATTATAAGGCATGAAGTAAGAATTTCCTCATTCATCAGTGCATTAACTGTAATGACTGTATGCTTATATCCAGTCTAATACTGAATTATTGTCATTTATTGTCAGATTGGACAGGCAAACTCAGGCAACCACTTTTGTACATCAGATATTTGGGGGTTATCTGAGATCCAGAGGTAGGTCATCAGATTTTAGTTTGTTTTGATTTGGTTTAAGGTTAATCTTATTCTTTCTGAATAACATGTTGCAAAAATAGTCTATAAATAGACACCTTTAAATTTAGTGTCTAGAAGTTT